GGAAGCTTCGCGAAAGGTCATGGCCTGTTTATTTTAGTATATTACGTAATCGTTTCTACAAGCGGTACATTTTGTAATGTTGCAATAATTAGACCTTTTTTTAGAAGGTTCTCGAATCTTAAGGCGTAAGTATATGAGTAGGAGAGGTTAAGCGAGGTTTTAGCTAAGTTTTTCAAGCGAAGAGAGTTAGTCGTGATCAGTCGTGATCAGTCGTGATCAGTCAAGTGTGACGAAGCAGTGTATGTTGAATTTGGCACAGGCCGTATGTATCCCTCAAGTTTGCTGAAGTTGGTGAAGGCCGTGTGCATTGTAAAAGTTGTTTGAATTTGGTGGAGGCCGTGTAAGTTTACTGAGTTACGTGCTAGTGCAGAGTTTATTGAGTGGAAGCTACGTTCATTTTGGAATAAATCTTCATGTTGCTATTCCGACAACCCTGCGTTCTGTTTAGACTGCAAATCACCTGCCATTGAACCATCGAACTCGTAACACCAAAATACAGGAAATTTGTTGGTTTTTCGCTTCTAAGCAGCAAATTTAGCACTTCTTTGAGAAAAACTTTGGCCCTTAAATATCTCTTGGCCTCACCTCAAGCGATTGTTATGCTACCTAGTGCTCTGCAAACCTCCTTCTGCGTGCATCCATTTCACGATATGCGCGCGCCAAGCACGAAAAAATTATTAGTTTTACATTTTGATCTTTACTTTTTTTTGTTCTGTTTTGTTCTTATCATTATCCATATCGATCAAACTTTTTTTAGATGAAACGTGTCCATGGTGACTTAATGTCCAAAAAACCCTTGAAAACTGCTATTGAGGTTTAAATTTTCCCGTTGCTTCATTATGCATCAATTGTAATTTAATTATGAAGATGCACTGAGAAAGTGCTATTAAATATAACTAATTTCAGGATGTTCATGGTTAGACATTCATAATCGTCTATCTTTTAGTCACCTGTAAAATGAGACGTTTTGATGTTCCCGCTCATTTTCAGCCAGTTTTCATTCTGCATTATAACATTGTAAATTCGTGCAATCAATTATATTGTTGCGAGCGTGCTTCAATCTCTCATTGTACACGCTGATGACGTCCGTAGACAAATGCCTCGCGAATTTTTTTTTTCTTGTAAGTGACTTTTTTTTATTAAAAAAAAATGGAGATCAACTTCAGAAAAAAAATTTCAATCTAACATGATAACAAGCGAAGAAGCCGACGAAGATCTGCCTATTTTTCTTTTGGAATGGATTTTCTTAACTCTCGAGATATCCGAGGCGAGATCGTTGAAACATAGCGAAATACTTTTCCAAACCAAAATAAACACCGCATTGAAGCGTAGAAGAGGAGATTTCTGCCCTTTATACATTAACTACAGCGTTGAAAATGTCATAAAACAATGGGCTCATGTGTCACCTTTGCGTTCATCGAGATTTGAAGCACTCGGGAAATTTGGAGAGCACTCAAGAAGCTAGAGTTGCTCGAGGCTGCAACTCTAGCTTCTTGAGTAACTCTTACGCATCTTTCGTGCTCTCCAAACTTCCCGCCTGCTTTAGTTCTCGATGAACGCACGCTGACGCATGAGTAAGTTACTAATTATTGGGAACATAATTGCTCTGCCTGCATTTCAACAATTTTCACTCTGTTTTTATTAGCTTTGACAAATTTAGTCATAAGGCTTCCAAAAATTGCGTGATACATAACACAGGAAGGGTGCTATGACGAAAACAATATGCCTCGAATGCCGAGTTCTAAGAATTACAAGTGCTTGGCATATGTTTAACACCTGTCGGCAATATGTTTTCGAAGTGTATGAACTTTACTACGAAAGTTTTCTTCAAATTAAAACAAATGAGGGGAACTAAATATGACACCAGCGAATAATTATGTATCCAAAGAGAGATTCTTATTCCACAGGAAAATGTAAAAGGAAAGTAAGCAGTTTTTTAATTAAAAAAATTCCTTTCCAACGACTTAATACATCAATTTTTATTTCCCTGAGTGCGAGGCTATCTATGGGCTCTTTCTTGACTTCGTTCAAACACCACACATATAAACGATAGTTGCGAAAATATGTTCATTAGACTCTACTGGATCTTGATATGAGTGTCGAGACTAAAAGCTGTGAAAAAGATGACCAATTAAGTAATTGCGGATATTATTCAGTCATACCTAAAGACTTTGCAAACACACGGTCGCATACTGTGAAAAAAGAATCTCGAATATTCTTGAATGAACAAAAGATAACACATTAAAATGGACGATGATTTTCAGTGGTCAATTTGTTAGTTAGGCTTTTATAGACGAGAATTTCAGTCCCCGTTTCCTTTTTTATTTTAATACATTGCTTAGCTGAAAAATTAAAAGCAGAAAATAAAGGTTTCTTATTAACAAATGCAAGATTTAAAACATACCATCTGGGCAGGATTGGAATTGTCCGAGGGGAAGAACCACAGAGATAAGGAACAAAGGGAGAAAACCTCCCATGTCTGAGAAAAAACATCAAAAAGAAATCCTTTCAATATTTTGGAGCTGTTGAACAAACAGAGGAGGTTAACAGTAGTTTGTTACATGGTTGTACCTCCAATTTAAGGCTATACTTCCTAGAAACGTGTGAACCAATGATATTTGGGAGTGATATATGAAAGATTTTTCACCGCCCGTCACAGCGACGCTGTGAGATTAATTAATATGTACTGAAACAGTTAATTTGGTTCGTTTTCTCCTCAGACAGTTATTTCCATCTTTTACTCTCTATCCTTAGGGACTCTTCTTGTACTTGTTTCCTTAGTTATAAGCAGCATCAAATGACAAAAGAATATATCAGTTAAACTCTGTGAAAATGCAAGCGAATAACAAAGCCTGGATTGTTGTTTTTTATTATTATAATTTTTTGTTTTTGTTTTAAGATTCCAATTTATATCTCTGTGGTATTCTAACCAAATTTTTAAAGGTATTTTAGAATACAGTTTTAGAGATCGTGACTTCAGTGAAGTAAAGTATATTTTAAGTGTCAATCTCGCTACGAGTTTTTTTTTTTTTAGCCCGATTTACGCCTGCATTTTAAGTATTTCCTATAAATTAGTGAGTTTTTGATATGTAAATTAAAGTCCAATAAAAGCCTCTCCTCCGGCTCCAAGTGAATTTTCCATGTTTTGTCTGTGAAATGACTGAATGCCTTAAAAAACTGTATTTTAGTGAAATGACTGAGTGACTTAAAAAACTGTATTTTAGAATATAGCTATAGATATCGTGACTTCAGTGAGGTAAAGTATATTTTAAGTGTGAATCTCGCTAAGAGATTTTTTTCAGCCCAATTTACGCCTGCATTTTAAGTATTTCCTATAAAGTAGTGAGTTTTTGATATGTAAATTAAAGTCGAATAAAAGCCTCTCCTCCGGTTCCAAGTGAATTTTCCATGTTTTGTCTGTAAAATGACTGAGTGCATCTTTTAATTCGAAACAACAGGGAA